AAGATGAACAACATAGAATAACATTAAAAATTCAGAGCATCTCAGCAATAGTTTAAAACCAATAAATAAAAACAACAATTAACAATTAAAATATCATTTAAATAAAAAGGTCTTGGCCTGGCGCCAGAAAACAGATAACGATGGCGCCAGGTGGTCTTCTCTGGGGAGCGCATTCCAGAGGTGGGGCGCCACCGCAGTAAGAGGCAGTTGTTCTTAAATGAATAATTCCCTTACTTGTCACTGATCTTCATTGGAGAAATTTAACTCTGTGTTTTGACGCTCATTACATCTCTTTCAGTCTCCTGTAACAATCTCTAATCGGAGACAGGTACTTTGTGTCAAAATGCTGAACAAAGAGTTCTGACAAAGGTCATCAACAGCTAATTGGGACTTATTTCTTAAATAACCAGGGCACCTGATTGACTTCATCTTTTTGGTAATATAAGTTCACCCATTTTTTTTACAATATAACTGCATGTCAGGGAACGTCGCAGGCAGAAGAAAAGGAAGGCAAAATATGCGATGGATCAGCTCCATGAGGCAAGTCACAACCTTGAGTTGACAAGAGGGCTGTGAAGGATCGCGTTTTGGGGGGCTCGTTCCTAGCATTGCCCTAAGCCGGAGACGAGTTTGATGGGAATAGCAGAAACGTCTCAGTTCAGAATTAATGCATCACAAATGCTTGCAGCTTTGAAAAGGCAGCAGACGGTCGTTTTCTCAGCCTCACGTTTGGAAGAGTCTGGAGCTTCCGAGTGGGAATCCCCACAGTTCTGGTTCTGTTCACGTCCACGGTTGAGGACAAATGCAGTCTCTCTGTTGAAATCCCTGTTCTTCCTTGAAATGGGCTTGGCTTGGCCTGAGGACGGCTAGCTGCTGTTCTCTGTTCATGCACTGTTGAGGGCCAGTGTGGAAAAGGATAAGCCAGGATCGGTTTTATAACAAACTCTTGCAGGCGGCAAACACGGCTCTCGGAGATTTTGCAAAATGACTGATTTCAGGCTGCCAAGTACCAGCTCCTGATGCAGCGTTTCAGTGCTTGAAATGAAAAGAATGAGCCCTTTTGAACATCCTCTGAAATTCTGTTCAAGCCTGCCGGAGGACAGACCAGTACAGCAATTTAATTCATTACTCTTACTTGAAAGATTTTTGTGGGGGGGGGGGTGTTTCTTGTTTTAAATTTATGGCTGAAACACTTAACCTCAGTGGGGGGGGGGTGTTTCTTGTTTTAAATTTATGGCTGAAACACTTAACCTCAGTGGGTGTTCAGCTTGCCTAAACTGAGAGGTTTTCTTTGAAGCTTCTAAAGAGCCTGCATCACTTTACGAGGTGCACCGAGATACGACGCAGGAGAGCTTGCATACCAGCAGAAGGGGGAGAGTCGCCTGGCCCCACAGTAGGTGTTAGGCCTGGTACAGATGGCACTGCTTTGCCTGGGGCTCCTGTTGGTTGGGGAACCCACTGCCAAGATTGGACGGCCAGCATCGCCTCTGCATGGATAGCAGCCTTCCCAGTCTGGTGTTCTCCAGAAGTGTTGGACTGCAAGTCTGCTTCTCGGGTGGCATGTGACCCCTCTTTGGAGCGAGGAACTGACCAGCAAAAGCCCTGGGCACCTTGGTGGTGCTGGCACTCACATGGCTGCAGAAAGAGTTTAAATCCAGAGGGAGGGAGTCCTGTGGCCCATTGCAGGGGGTGCCCTCCCCAGAGAGGTCTGCCTGGCGCCATCATTGTATGTTTTTCGGCACCAGGTCATGACCTTTTTATCCGACCAATATTTTAACACATAATTTTAATTGTGATATGACTTATTTAGATTTTAAATGATGCTCAGCGTGGAATAGTTAATTTATTTTATTCTGAAATAATGTTGTAAGCCGTCCAGAGATGACAGTAATGGACGGCATACAAATTTTTCAAATAAATAAATAAACAAAACCATTTTAACTCCCAACACATACGCAAGTAACAGAAACCAGAGGTACATTACAGTGTCACCTCCATACCAGCACAAGTTTTGTCCAAATGTGTGGCCCGGCCAAAAGGGGAGGCCTAGCCGGGGGGGGGGGGGGGGGCGAGCCGCCGGCCCTGGTACCAGGGGCTGCGTGGAGCTGACTAGTGAAGGCCCCCCGTTTTCATGGAAGTGCGGCGTGTGGAATCCGCAGCACCAGGTGCCTCCTCCGCACAGCACGGATCCAGGCTCCGGTGTGGGGCTGCTCGCACACGGCTGAGGACCGCGTTGAGGCGTGTGTGAGGGAGGAGGGGGTCTTGGGCAGTGTGGCATGGCCTCCTTTCTCAGTGACCCTCTCCAGTTCCTTTCCCACTGGCAAAAGTTTCAGTTGGAGCGCTGTAGCCATGCGTTGGGACAATGCTGAGTGCCTTCATTTCACAGGGAAACCCCAGTCAAAGATTTTGCTCCACATGAATTGAACACGATCAGTCCTCTCCTTTTTATTCCTTCTGAAAAGATCTTCTTTGTTCAGTTGTTTTAGTCGATTAACAATGTGTATTCCATCCTCTCCATCTTGTGCATCCAAAGCCTGATTCAGACCTGATTCAGACACAAGGACAACCCAAAGCACGAACTGGGTGTGGGTTGATGGATTGCTACAGTCCAGCTCTGCTTTTCATTAATTACAAACAACCTGGAGTTCACAAGCCGTCAACAAACCATGGACCAGTTTCCACAATCACAAGGCTGTTTAATAAGCCGCAGCAATCGGTTAGCTACCCCATGGGTGCCGCCCGGCTGGTTTTGCAGAATTGGTCCCACTGGTGCTGCTTTTGCAGCTTCCGAACCCAGCGTGGGTGGGCGGGTGCAGTGGCGCACAGCTCTGAAACAGCGGTGGGTTCTGTGTGGCAGGAGCCGCGGGAGCGTGTCGTGTGCATTGCAGCCGACAGCAGGCGACGCGTGGCCTTCGGTCGCCTGCAGCCCTAGCCGACATGCCAGTGGTGAGGGACGTTTGGCGCTAGGGCCATCAGTTGCCCACCCAGATCTATCCAAATGGGGCAGCTTTCCATGAAGGGAGTTCCATCGGGTGTCTCAATCTCAGGTCACGTGGAGCTTTATGGGTCAAACGCCATCGTGCAAAATGGACCCAGCAAGCATCTCGGGATTGTTCGGCTCAGGCAAAATGTGCGTGGCTAGAACTGGGGGAGGCTGTCCAGGCTTTGGGATTCCCTCGCAAGGGAAGCCTTCTGTGCCTCTTTATCAATGGCCCATACTAGCCCTCCTTTTCAGGAAGGCATTGGGAGAAGATCTCTGTGCCTGGAGGCGAGGCGGAGGCTGTGGGGGGCTCAGGTCAGGGGGCTGAGCCATCAGCTCTGGAAGGGACCTTCATTCAGCCAGAGGAAATCTCCTGCTGCTGTTTGTTTGGGGAGGGCAAGGGGAGCTGGCAACATTTGCCTGCTTTGCTATATTAATCCTTTAATTTAAACCCAGTTTAAATGGCCTTGGCAGAAAGACAGAATAGAAATTATTACATAAATTAACGGTGATTACCTTTACCTTTATGGGTTTTTTTAATTATTGTATTTTTTTTAATTTTATTGTTACTTTATACTGACTGGAGTTGTCCATTTTGATGGATTTTGGAGGAAACGTTTGCTTAAAAACACTTTTAAAGAAATAGCAACCCTGTTGGTAACCGTTCTCTGCAGAGTTTTGGATACTTTCAAAGGCGGGCTCAGGTGCAAAGCATCGCTGCTATGCCTGGTACAATTGTTTGGCGCTTGAGGGTCTCCTCTGGCTTCTGGATCCCTTTTGCTGGTAAAGGTTTTGCGAGCAGTTGTGACTCCCAGTTTGCACGGTCCCTTTGTCCATGAAATAAATGACATGAGAATAAAGTAATAAACTTCATGGGTCTAATGTATTATTAATGTATTATATTTTAATGTTTTGTGAGCCGCCCCGAGGCTTCGGCGAATGGGGCGGCATAGACATTTTCTAAATAAATAATAACTAAATACCTCTGTAAGGTGTGTCTGGCCCAGCAGAGCCCTCAGTTCTCACTAATAGATGGAGTGTTGGCCACTGCTTTGCAGAGGCCTTTGAAGTCCATGATGTGACTACCATCTTCAAATTATTAACTGTATTAGCCGTTGTCTCACATTGTACAGTGGGACCTCGGCTCACGAGCTTAATCCATTCCAGGACTCTGGTGGTCGTGACCCAACTGGTTGTGTGCCAAGTTAAATTTCCCCATAAGGTTCAATGTAAATAGGGTTAATCCGTTCGGTAACTTTTTTTTTATCAGAAGAATTTGAAGCAAAGTGACAAAGAACAACAAAGATTGTGGCCATCCCCCCCCCCCCCAGCATGATCGCAATCACGCCTGTCATCCCTGAACAAACACGATCCCGGCCATAGATGGGCGCGATCGTGGGTGTGCTTGGGGGGAGGACGGGCGCGATCGTGCTGGGTGGGGAGATGGCCGAGATCGCGGGTGCGCTCATGCAGGAAAGACAGGTACGATCGGGGCCACCTCCCCACCCTCATCCCAACCGCGTCTGTCTTCCCTGCATGAGCGCAACCATGATCGTGGCCATCTCCCCCCTCGGGGGGTGGGAGGAGATGGCCGCGATCGCGGTCGCCACCCAGTGCGGAGTCCAAAACCTGAGTCAAAATTTTTACGAAATTTTTGTTCGCGACCCGATTTGGTTGTGAACTGAGACATTTGTGAGCTGAGGTGCCACTGTACCTCTGCAGCTGCCCAACATTTCAGATGCAACACATACAGCAGTGAACTTGGTCTCGTGCCATTTATTCGCTGCATTCTTTATTTTTATGGCCCAGGAGTTCTCCTAAGAACCATGAACATCCTCACATTATTTTTAAAACACACACAACTGTGAAAACAGTTTTCTCGGCCTCCTTTTGTAAGGTTGCTCTGGTGCATAGTGGTGCAGAGCAGTCGAAGTCGAAGAACGGCACACAAAGCTGCCTCTGCCGGTGGCTGCTTTGACTTGATCGTAGACTAACGGACCCTGCGTCTGTCTTCCCCCAGGTCTGATGAAATTGAGATGGTCATGACGGACCTTGAAAGAGCGAATCAGGTAAGATTTTCAAGCCGACTCATCTATCAGATCATGCGGCAGCCTTGGAGGGTTCCTCTAACAGACAGGCTGAAGAAACTCCTCTCGTTCTTGTCTCATCTTCGCAGAAAAGTTCCGTGTTGTCCTCATCTGGGGCTGGGGTGGGTATTTGCGCCTCTGACTGCTGAGCCATAGTTGAGTAACCCGGAGCAGGCTGCTGGATGGGGCTGACCTTCCCTCCCTCTTCTCTTCCGGTTCCTTCTGGAGCAGGAATTCCTACAACTCCCCTCACACCCTCTTTCAAACCCCGGCACGCCATCCACCTGGATCGTCCCCACGAGCCACCTCTCCTCCAGGGTGGTTGGTCACGTGAACCTAGCACACACAGGGCAGGGTTAAAGAACCCTTGGTCCTCGGAAACAACCCCTAAGTTATGTGCATGGGTCATGCAAAGGTTGCTTATCCGTCGGGACAACCTCCCAGCGTTCCCTCGTTGCTCATAGGAGGGGTTGCGTATTCAGAGTGGCCCACGCTGCGACCTTGCTGTGGGTGGCCTAAGCATGCGCTGGTCTTGTTATCCAGAGCCACACTCTGGCCCTTCTTCTTCGTGGTCTCCATCTAATCACACCCGTGGGCTTGCCGTGGAGCGCAAGGCCTCGATCGGAGGAAACTTCCAAAGCTCGGCGCCATGGAGGGGGGTGGGTCCTGCCCAGCCCCTCAGCTCCTTTTCAACCGCCTTCTCATGCATAAACCTGGGCTAGCTGTTAAAAGTAAGGTTTATGTACACTATGAGAGATGCCGATTCGCTCCAGACCATGGGATGGGAATGCCGCCAATCAAGCGTAAAATATGGGTGGGAGGGACCCTCTGGGAAGAGAGCTGCCCCCCTTTGTTTCAGCCTGACTAGCTCATAAAGGAGGGAACCATAGGATGCCCTCTTTAGAGGGGGCAGAAAGTGTGTGGCCTACCAGAGGGTGGACCAGGATACCCATCAACCTTGGCCCGTATCCAGGCTGGCCGGGGATCATGGGAGTTGTAGTCCAGCCGTGTGTGGAAGCCCACGCTTGCCTGCACCAGAAGACCAGCAGGATGAACATGGAACAATGAAGAATGTCTGTGTTTCCCTAATGAGCGTGCAGGATTTGCCCGGCCTCGCACGCTTCTCTCTGGGAGATGTATGCAAGGGGGAAAACAGCGATGGAGGAAACGACTCTGACCAAAAAGAGAAAAAGAGAGGGAAAAATGTGCTTGTTTCAGGCAAAACAGGCTGGGGATCTCTTTAATTTGGCATTTACTCCTGAGAACGATTCCCATGAGGAATCTCGCTCAGCCTGCCTTGGCTGGGAGTACAGAAGGCAATTGAATCAAAGGATTCCATTTCCACTCGCATTCATCCAGCCTGGGAAATTCAGTGGGCCGCAGCGTTTGTGTCAGCAGGGGATTCCTTGCTCCTAGCATTAAATTACTGTCATAATCGCTCAATTATTTCTTCCTTGTACTGTTTAAAATAAAAATCCATCACATTCTGAGGTTCTCTCTTCTCCCCCCCTCCATCATTTATTAGGTTGAGTGTTTAGGAAAATCAATTATACTCAGTCGGGCATGAATTGATGAATGTTCGTGCAGTAATTGCCAGTTGTTAAATCAAATGTACATTCTCTCCCCCCCCCCCCGAAATCTCACCCTTCTCGTTTCCTTCAGAGGGCAGAGGTAGCTCAGAGAGAAGCCGAGTCCTTGAGAGAGCAGCTCTCGTCCGCTAACAAATCTCTCCAATTGGCCACACAGATCCAGAAGGCCCCGGATGTGGTAAGAAGCACCCCATGTGCTGAATTATGCCTGCTGCAGAGACACCCAGTGCCTGCACAGAGCCGAGCTTTCCAGCGGCGGCCAGAACTGGGTTTCCGGGGAATAGTTCTCCCCTTCTTGTGTTGCCTCCTTGCGCAACCGCTTGCGCTGCTCAGCGTGCAGCAGGGTGGGCGGGGGTGGGAAAACAGACTTGAACTACCCCGTCCTTTCCCAAGGGGGTGCAAGGTCTGGGTTGCTTCCCCGGAACCGGCTGCCCGTGTGGGCCGAGAACGTGTGACAGCCCGGAGCTCTTTCAGTGCCATCTCCACAACCGTTCCGCCTGCATGCCAGCACCTGCTGGTGGTCCATCCTGAGCCAAGGCAGCTGCTCCCCACCTGCAGCTGAGGAAATGGGTGTGAAATCTGGTCCTTGGGGCAGAATCCGCATCCGAGGCATTAACAGAAGTGCCTTTGGTTCCCCAGCTTCATGGGCCTGGAGTTCCCCGAGTCCCGCCCTGGCACCTGGCCGCCTGAGCCTGGCTGCCAGCAGCCTCTCCCACCCCGAAGGCCCTCCCCTCTGCGGCTCCTGGATCCCCCTTGCTCCCCACACCAGCCGTTCCGCTCACCATAGAGGGCTAGGCAGGGGAAGGGAAGCACTTGCTATGCTGAACCAGGATGCGTCCGGGTTTTCTCCTGCTGCTGCTGCTGCTGCTTGGCCTGGAACTCCGGTGACCCCACCCCGACTCCTCGGGGAGGTTTCTGTAGGCATGGGGCCCGTTCCCATTGAGGAGGGGCATTCTGTCGCCCCAGCGCACCTGTAGCACTAAGCCACAGGTGCTTCACAAACAGCCCTCAGGTGTGCGCAACCTCCTCCTCCCAGATCTCAGGGTCGCAAAACTTGGCTTGTTGCCAGTTGATCATAACTGAAAACAGACTCTGGTCAGTAAACAAGCCATGTACGCACCCTGGCTTGTTCAGCTGGCTTCTTTCACAAACTAGAGTTTGTCCTAAACCACGGTTCTGCTTCATACATAGCTATCCGCTGAGACTCAAGGCAACAGAAATGGAGTCATGGTTTGTTCTTTCCAGAATAGGAAAGAGACTCATCCATGTCACACTAAAACATAGTTTAAGATCATACACAAATGCAGCCATTGCAATCATTTATTTATTTCAAACTTTTTAGTAGCATCCACTGCCAGGGTCTCGGATTAGCAGATTTCCTTGGTACTCTTTAATAGGAGTCTATTTTTCCAGAGCGTTCTGGAGTAGGGGACCAGTTCCGGAGTGGCATTTATGTTTGTGCACGTCTCCGTGATGGTGATGGCGGGGCTGCTTTCTCGGGCCTGGCAGGGTTTGTGTTGCGTGCCAGTTTGTCTTGGCGGGTGGAAGCCACAGAAAGGTTCGGTCTCAGAAAGGATTGCCAGGGCGCCATTGCGCAAGCACCAAGAAGTCGGTGTGCCTATTCGCTTGCATTTGTAACTACGCCTCTGTAAATAAAAGGGAGTAATAACAATAATATGGGTGACAGAAAAATAATAATATATTACATTACAATATCACAATAAAATAAAAGATGAATTGTAGCAACAAAAAGCAGCTTAGCACAGCCATCAGCTAGGATTAAAATTCATCATCAATTTTCCTGTACTAGCCATTGGCTTTGACAGGTTCCAGATATATGTCCCATATAAAATTGCCACTGCAATGAAAGAAAAAAGTGCCATAAAATATGAAATAATAACTGAGATAATATTTCTTTTACACAGTACAATAAAGTCCTAAAACATACTACAGTGTCTGCTATCGCTTGCATTAAGAAATCGCCTACACTAAATACCCTGTGTTTGCACACTGCAGAGCACAAATTAATAGAAGTGCATCATGTAAGCTGTTGAATTAATCAATTAAAATCCTGTTGATGAACGCAGATTCCCCCCCCCACCCCCAATTAATCTGGCAACAGGTGTGTGCATGGCATCAGACTGACTTATTTTAAAATCTGCGGATGACGAGAACTGCCTTTACAAGAGGCGTTTCTTTCCCCTTTGCTGATACAGAGGAAGGAATGTCTCGCCCGAGGAGATGCCTCTCAGGCCACATGCTTGGCTCAGCTGCAAGCCTCTTGCTTCAGGAACTCTCATGAAATTGATTGCTCGATCGATTAAAACCCATGTGACAAATCCAGCCCTATAAAATTCCTTTAAAAGCATGCCAACTCCACAAATTAATCTGTATAAATTTCCTTCTGGAGCAAGAACATCTTAGCTATGTCTGTAAAAATGTGGTTGGAGAGGGATTCCAGCAGAGGTGGCCTTCCGCACTCCAGGTGCCACCACCAAGAAGGTTCTCTCTCCCAGGTTCACCTGCCAGATAGTCACTGAGGGCAGGAGATGGAAGAGAGAAGGCCGTTCTTGGCACGCCCTGCCATCATAAGGTTTAGGGACTGAAAGGTTAATTCCAGCTCTTGAGCCAAGCTCAGGAACAAACAGATAACCAGTGGGGGAGTGTAAAGGGCTGGAAATACATGCCCCTTTCGGCATGTTGGCAAAATCCTGGCAGCCACATTTGGACTCAAGGGCAACCCCACATAGAGGACATTGCAGCAGCCTTAACTGGTTTAAGACGGCGTTCCCTCCATGATGGCTTCTCAGCTGGCTGCGTTCAGACAACAGGACACGCAGCCATGGTTTGCTTGCTTGCTTATTTATTGATGTATTTGTTTAAAACTTATTTATTGAAAACTTTTCTAGGCCGTCCCTTACCATGGTCCGGGGATGATTTAACAATAAGATCATGTAAAGTAAAATAAAACACAGCGTCCTAATAAAATTTCCGAACAGCAATAAAACCCCTATTAAAACAATTCTTACAACATTGGGGAAATAAAAGGGTTTTAGCCTGGTGCTAAAGCGACGGCGCCAGGCAAACCTCTCTGGCGAGTGAATTCCACAATCGGGGCACCGCCACAGAGAAGGCCCTCCTCCGGGTAGTCAGCCTCCTAATCTCCTTCAGGGAGAGCTTCCAGAGAAGGGCCTCTGCCCCGGAACTCAAGGAGGGGAGGGCATGTATGGAAGGAGACGCTCCTTCAGGTAACCAGGCCCAAAGCTGGGCTTACAGGGCTCTGTGAAGCAGGCCAGGGTTTTGGCCACCGTTTTCAGCGGGTGCGTTTGCCTACATTTCTGAAGCAACCCTGGCAAGGTACTAGACTGGCTTGCCAGTGCACGGGGAGAGCCCGTCTCCAAGACCTTGTCTGGCAGCCTCTGGCCTCCATGGTTTATTTATTTATTTAAAACATTTCTATGCCGCCCCCATCGCAACGAAGCCTCGGGGCAGCCCACAAAGAATGCATAAAAACATACATAAATAATAATAATATAACAATTTAAAAAAATTAGCACCAGGCTTTGGCACCAGGCTAAAACCTTTTTATTTCCCCAATGTTGTAAGATTTGATTGTTTTAATAGGGGTTTTATTGCTGTTCGGAAATTTTATTAGGGCGCTGTGTTCGGTTCCCACCGAATGCTCTGTGGATCGTTGTGGGCAAGCCCTTCTGCCCAGGAGTGACCTCTCCTTCATTCCCTCGCCCCCCGCCCTGTTTCCGCCAGGAGCAGGCCCTTGAGGTGCTGACCCGATCCAGCTTGGAAGTGGAGCTGGCTGCCAAGGAGCGTGAAATCGCCCAGCTGGTTGCGGATGTGCAGAGGCTCCAGGGCAGCCTCACCACCCTTCGGGAGAACTCCACCAGCCAGATCTCCCAGCTGGAGCAGCAGCTGACCGACAAGAATTGCACCCTCAAGGTAAGGCCACGCGGGCCCCTGCAGCCCGGCCGGCTCCATCCTTCACTGCACCAGCACCTTGCATATTTGAACCCGCAGCACCACTCAGGGGAGGGGGGGGGGTTCCCACCGCCGCATTTCTGAGCTCCACCCAGCTCAGCAATTTCTTGCATTCTAATATTATCCTGCATAAGTGACAGGCTGTTCTTGAACTTGCCACATTTAAGTGACTTCGTTTTCTTACACTGAAGCGAATTGATTGAACGTTGTACATTGAAATGATTGATTTTAAGAGACAGTGCTACATTGATTTCCAGTGAAAGCACCATTCGAACTCGGATCCCTTACGTTCAGAAAATTGCTAGTGTAAGAATGGCCCCTGGCTTTCGTTTGCTCGGCCATCCAAGAATGCGAGTTCTGCCCACTGGTCAGAAACTCAGAAGTCTCTGCTTTGCGCAGGGAACAAAGTTCTCAGATGGCAGCCCGCCCATGATTTAGCATCCGCTGCAGGAGGATGTCCAGAACCTCCTAGAAGCCCGTGTAGGCTCTGCCACTGAGCTGTGGGGCCTCCTGGGAAACAAGCCGCCATCCGGCGAGTCAGACTCTCCACCCGTCTTGCTCTGCCGGGCGGGGGGTGTGGGGGGACAGCTTGATATTTCATAATCAGCATATGTTCGGCTGCGTATCTTTAGCACAGAAGACCCGCTTCCGTGCTGGGAAATAGGGCTAGTTCGTTTATTCTGGGGAAAGAGGCGAGGTGTGTGTACACTTTCTGATTAGTGTGCCCAGATGGGCTTCCTGGAAAGGTGGCATCTCCTCCCTCTTAGTACCTCATTTGCAAGGTCCCAGAGGGTCTATTTTTAGACCTTACGCAACATTAGGAACACGCCTTTTATGTTGCCTGAAAACGAACCGAGTGGATCGTTAGAGCCAGACATTAGTTCCTCCAGATTGTCTCACAGCTTGACCATTTCGTTCTGCTTCGCGTTGTGCTGGGCTCCTTCAGGCGATTGCTGTGCTGATCTCTTGCTGGCATGTGGAGGCGCCTCCCAGATGCAGCCCCGCACCGGCATCGCTGCCGGATCCAGCCGGAAACCCGAAGCGCCTTGCCCTCGCCCAGGGTGGGCCAGCTGCTGGCACGCGGCTGAAAAATAGAGGACATGATCGCACAGAGGGCCATGAAATGTGCCCACTCTGTTCCGTTGGTGCTGAGAGAGAGAGTATAGCTATTGCAGGTGCAGATTTATAACCGCTTTCCGTGATATGAATAAACGGAAGTGCAATACCTTCCACACTGTTTGCTTATTTATTTAGGACATTTATAGGCCGTCTATCACTGTCATCTCTGGACGGCTTACAATTTAGTAAAATCTAAATCCTAAACAAATTAACTATGCCATGACTGACTAGATAAAAATATAATAGTTAAAATAAGTTAAATAAATTTACAATTAAAAACAATTAACATTAAAATATTGGTCAAATAAAAAGGTCTTGACCTGGTGCCGAAAAGCATATAATGACGGCGCCAGGCGGACCTTTCTGGGGAGCGCATTCCATAGTCGGGGCACCGCCGCAGAGAAGGCCCTCCTCCGAGTACTCTGTCTCCTGACCTCTTTCAAAGAGGGTTCCTGGAGGAGGGCCTCTGCCGCCGATACTAAGGGGCTACACTAGTGGGGAAACTGAGCCCAAGATATTTCGGCTTCTCAGTCATCTGTTCCGGTAGCGCTTGATAAGCAACTTCTAAGCCACTTATTATGGGTCTTGAAACCAGACTTTGACTGGGAAGCCCTCAAACAGAAGGCTGTCCTGTGTAAAGCAGGCCTCCACTGCAAATCTGGTTTTATTTGTTTTGAATTATTTGTAGGGCCCTTTTCAGGATGGTCCCCACTTCAAGCCAGCATCAGGAAGTGTGCACAGCCAAACAAACAGAATCAGAAATCTGTACATACCTATTCAGTAAAAATCATATAAAAACAGATCTCAGCAATGAAAGGTGCAACCCACAGTCTGTGCCCAGGCTAGTGAGACCAGGTGGACCTTAAGAGGTTTTGTCAGGCAAAGAAGAGGTCTGATGAACCTCTGATGGAAGTCAGTTCCCGAGGTATGAGGCCAAATGGGACAAGGGCTTAGGGGGCTACCCCAGGTGACATTCCCTTCTCCAAGAGGCCTGTGACTTATTTCCCAGAGAGGTTTTCACCCTTAAGATTCTTTGGCTGGAGATTAAGCCAATAAGCATCCTTTCCCCTTTTTTTGTAGGTTCTTTCCATCTTGTTCACAGGAACCACAAATAACTACATTGATAAATCTCTTTATGTTCATTGGTTTGATTAATGTACATTGCTTCTGAAATTGTGGGGCATAAAAGTCAGATTATGGGATGTTAATATGAATCAAATCAAATAATTGTGCATCTTTTCTTTTCCTTTCAAGCAACTGGAAGAAAAACTGAAGGTGCAAGCCGACTATGAGGAAGTTAAGAAAGAACTGAAGTAAGTTTATGCACAGTTGAGACCACTGGACGTTTTTTCCTAAAAATGTGAAGACTTGGCATTAAGGACCAACCCACAGCAACCAAGTGGAACATCTATTTGCACAGACAGTGGGTTGGAGGTGTATTTGTGGGACATGCATCCCCCTTAAAGAAGTCCTGGAATTAACATCCATGTCCATGTCCTGATTTTATCTTATCTTATCTTATCTTATTTTATTTTATTTTATTTAAAGCTTTTGTAGACCATCCCATTACTAGCTTCCCAGAACAGTTCACAGCAAGCATGGATAAAAAATGGCTCAGCATCCAGCAATTCACAATAAAATCACAAGTAAAACCAGTTAAACATTAAAATAACGGGAGAATAAAAAGGGAGAATTTTGGTCAAGATCTTTACCCTCTTCATGCAACATTTGTTTTCATAAGGACACACATGTTGGATCAAAGCCATTATCTTTAATACGTCCCGTGTACCTAGCTTGGGCAACATTTGTGGCATTCCAGATGTTTTCGCTGGCAAATTCCAGACGTTTTAGCTGGCAAATGTTAATCGATTTTATTGTATATTTATTTATCTAATTTATTTTAACCATGTCATTTTTATGCTCAGTTCATGGTATAGCCAATTTATTTTGTTTAGGATTCATAATATTCTGTAAGCCGTCCAGAGACGACAGTGATGAACGGCCTATAAATTTCCTAAATAAATAAATAAATAAATTCCTCACCCTTGGCTGTGTATGCAAAGACTGATGGGCATTGTACTCCAAAGCATCTAGAGGGCCCCAGTTTTCCTCCCATATAGAGTGAGTGTATTCTCCTAACGTAGCCAAAACACCCCTTCCCCTTGCACAGGCAGGTTTGGCAGACTCAATATGGGACTTCAGGAGATGCAGAAAGCCAAAAACACATTTAAGGGAAGGGACAGTACCTCCAAAGTCAGCCAGATGGGGGACTCAGTGGGCCCGGAAGCCATGCAACACTGGCTGTTTGGGGAGGGGGGAAATGGAAGGCGGGGCGGGAGGACAGGGCACCTAGAAACGGGCACGGCGGCCTTGCTGCAATTCTGAAATGGGTCGCTCCTCCGTTTGTTGTGGGTCCCACTTACACATCCTACCTCTGGGGGTTGACTTGCGGGCTCCTGAAAGTTTGGTGTCAGGTTATAGAATTGGTCCTCAGGGCAGACGCTGCAAGGCCAGTGGGGCAGGGACAGGTCTTCAGGGGCTACCAGGGAGGCAGAACAGCCTTCCCCACTGCCCACTGGGAGAGGCCCCGGGACCCTGAAAGAGGCCCCGGTCTCATCCGGACCCAAGGGCTACAGAAAGATGCTCCTGAAGGGAGCCATTGCAGGTGTGAGCCTTCCCCTGGAGAGGGCAAGATCTGGCTGGACAACACGCTCGCAGGTGGAGTTGCTTAATGACCTGGGCAAGAGATTGCAAAATGGCGCCTTCGGTGGGTGGGAGATTTGCAGGCACTTTGTCGAGTTTAGAAAACACCAAACAATTATCTGGAGCAGTCGAGCATTAGCACGGAAAGCGGCGTCTCCTCCCATGTTCAAGCCCGGCGCGCGTTGGTCCATGCAGCCCAACATGTGCACGTCTTTCCTGATCTATGGGCTGGTGTGTTTGCCGTGCATTTATGTTTCGCATTTCGTGGGCATTATTACGTCTGTGGTGGCAATTCTCCGGTTTTGCTGCTTTGTTAGAGCTGGTCCCCCCACTCTCCCCCCCAAAGCAGTGCACGTATAAATTTATATTGTTTCTGACAGTTTAAAATGTTATATCCTTATTAACCTTTAAATTTATGCTCCAAACAGGCCTGGTGGGAATGCATTACACAGTGATTTAGAGGACGGTGGGGAGAATGTTCTTCCACGATAACCGGTGTGAATAGTTATTCTATATTCATTATCAGATCATATTACTCAGAAGAAAAGTTGTTAAAGTTATCACTTAGGGTGTTCCTGGAGAGCTGAAAATTACAATGTTAATGCTGATTAGCAGAGCTGTTATGAAAGGATGGAGCAGAAAATGACTCTTTCTTCTTCCACTTCGCAGCATCTTGAAGTCCATGGAGTTTGCACCCTCCGATGGCTCCAGTACGCAGGTAATAGGCTCATTTTCTGTTTTCCGCGGGAGCAGAGGTGGGGTGCTTTTTGGGCGAACAAGGTTGCCTTGGAGACCTGGGTCCCTTGGCTCACTCAGCCAGGAAGCCACATTTGCTCTGCCTCATCTAGTTACGATGAGCAGAAACTAAAAGAAGGAGCAAGAAAGAGCCAGCACGGGCAGGCAGTGGCGCCAGCTCTTTCATTACCCAAAGGACAAGTTAAGACTTTTTTTTAAATTCTTCATGGACTAACAAGAGCTTAGTGACTGCCGCCCCCTAACAGAGTTGCCTTTTTTTCTAGTCTGCCTGCCTGCCTATCAATCTGTTTATCTGTCTGTCTGTCTGATATCTATCTATCTATCTATTAAATTTATTAAATGCCTCATGAAATCCATTTCTCTAGGCATTTTACCATGTTTTAATAATCTTGTCTGCCTGCTCATTCCCCCCCCCCCGCCATTTGATCTCTTGCTGTTTTATGATTTTCCCCTCTATATTCTGGTATGTTGAGACAGTGGTATGGAAATAGCTTCCCATTCGAGTCTTTCCTCATCTACTAGTTCTCCGCATGGTCTTTAGGTGACCCGCTGCCTTAGAGGCGGCGACTGGCGACCAGTTATGGTTGTGAGGATGAACAACACTAAAAGCATTTAATGATTCAGAAAAGGGAAATAAACAGGGATTTTTCCATGCAATAAGGAGAACTGGTACCCTGTGTCCTGGCCACCCCCCCCCCAAAAAAAAAGCAGATCAGGACAAAAGATTTCAAAGTAAAAGGCTTTATTATGTTGGCACTGAAGGAGCTGGAGTGACTTTGCAGGGCAAAAGAAGAGTAGCGCAGAAGTCAATAAAAAAGAAAGCCAGTTGGAATGCTGGCCATTAGGGAATGCAGCGTCATGCGGAGATGCTGATACCAAACTGAATCTCCCTTCCTCTGCCCCTCTGAACTGAGAAGAAAAACCACACCTTTGGGTGGGCCTCCCTGTTTCAGAGATGGCAAAACCAGAACCCCCACACCAGTGTGAAGGCCGCAGAATCTGCCTAGGCCTCGGCCCTGCCCCCGTCTCCTTCCATACACGGAAACAACAGCGGCCTGGTTTGCAGAATCAGCACCGCCCACTCTAGCCCATCTGTACCATGGCGAGTTGCAGCATGTGCTGGCCGGCGTGGGAAAGGTTCGAGACACGATGGGAGGGCGTGTTTCTTACCGTGGCTGGCCATCTGGCCAGCCACCGTCTCCTGGGGCAGGCATCCCAAGCAGTCATCCGCCGCAGCTCGAATGGGCCAAACGGCCACCAGCCCAGAGAGTTGGCTGCAATGAAGCCTGGCTTAATTAAGCCGGGGGAGGTTGCCGTGACCTCGCAGACCGGGCCGATCTCTCCCGCCACCTGTGTGTGAGTACAGAGCCAGCACTTAAGTGAACCATAACTAGCAGTGCCAACTCTTGCTTATGCAGCCTGTGCTTGTTACCTTCTCCTCCTGGGGGCAGGAGGGGCATTTTCACAGAATTGCTGAGTCGGAGGGGCCAGAGGGCCATCGGGTCGTGCCTCCTGCGCAGTTTGGTTCTCCCAGTTCAAGCATCCCTCGCAGAGGGCTGTCCAGCTGCCTCTTCATTGCCTCCAGGGTGGGAGAGCCCACCACCTCCCTAGGGATTGGGTTCCGTTACCGTGCTGCTCCAACAGTCAGGAAGGTTTTCCCGATACCTAGCTGGAATCTGGCTTCCTGTACCTTATTATTCCGTGTCCTGCACTTTGGAAGGGATGAGAAGAGATCTTCTCCTTCTTCTTTATGACAGCCTTTCAGGAACTTATAGAATGTTCTCCTATCTCCCTTCAGTCTTCTCAAGGCTGGACATGCCTTCTTTCCTTCAATCTCTCCTCTTGGGACTTTGCCTCCAGTCCTGAATTATAGAAACAGAGCAAGGCAGAGACCCCTCCTGGGTCATCTAGTCTGACCCCCGGCTCCAGCTGGCTTTGCTCATGACATGCCTACCACATGCATGTCCAACCTAATCATCCTTGTCGCCCTCCTCTCTAGCCTTTCTAAGTCTTTTTTAAGCTTAGGTGTCCAAAACTGGACACAGGTGCATTCCATTTTCACCTGTGTGAGAGAGGATACTGATGCACAGTCACCACCAGAAAGCTTGATCGCTTTCTGGGAACATCAAGCCAGCCCTCTCTGGCCTCAAACCAACCCTTTCCCCACTGCATCTTCTTGTCCCATTACATTGCAGTGGCAACAAAGATCCCAAATTTCAAACCATTCTAAACACCAAATTCAACTAAATTTAACTAAGAAGCCCTGAAGGAGGGGGAAGGGCCCACACCTTCTGGTCTTGTCGCATATTAATTTCATCAGATCAAAGGTTACAAATTGGATTCTGACAACTTCAGCACAAACCTGAAGCTGCATCTCTACATTCCAGGCATTTTTTATTATTTCCAGTGGGTTTCAGTGATTGAGCGTCGAGCGTAAGGAAAGGGGAAGGGTCAGCTTTTGTAAGTGATTTAATTTGTCCATTCTTTCCACAGTGCCGAAACACGGTGTTTCAAGGAAGATACGCTGCGATAACACTGTGTCTAAAGGCAAACAGGTGTAAAAAATGATTAATGGAGCACTTAAAAATACATCTCTAGAGTTGATAGGCAGACTGCCCCAGAAACCAGAACAGAATACCATCACAGACTCCTAGAGAACAATCACACCAAAATATGCATGACAAATTTCTAGCATTCCAGTCGAGCGACCCAGGCACCATCCTGAATTCTGCCCTGCCTGCCCGAGGGGCAGCTCTTGGGCTCCTCTGTGGCTAACCCCGGACCCGTTTCCCCTTCTCCCTCTCTGTAGGACGCGGCATCCAAACCGTTGGAGGTCCTGCTGCTAGAGAAGAACCGCTTGCTGCAGTCAGAGAACGCCACGCTGCGGATCACAAACAGCGACTTGAGCGGTAAGTGGATGGAAAGAACACTCGATTGTTGTTATTGCGGCTGCCTTTCCTGCTGGGGAGGAGGAAGGGGGCTCTGAGCCCAAGCCCTCAGCACATGACGGCATGAGTCCTGGTGAGCGGGGACCTTGAATCTCACCTTAAACCAAAGATAATCGAGGAAGACTGGGAGACTTTTGAAAGGTTCGGGAAGAGGCATTTGCGGGGATGCTGTGTTGAGCCACATTGGAATCTGTCTTGCATTTCAGGCGCCACCTGACAGTGGCACTGGCGGTTCCCCCCTTTCCCTAAACATAGATTAAAGTGGATCTCTAAAGTTAGCCTGTCTCATGTACTCAGCCAGGGTGTCACTCTGGACCCCGATTGTCTGATTTCCAGCGGTGGTGCCTTGCAGTTCTGTTTGATTTCTTCTGTCTCTCCATCTGTCTGTCCGTCTGCCTGCTTGCCTGCCTCCCTGTCTGTCTTCAAACGAAGCGATTTTGCGACTGTTGCGTAAATGGATGGGTGGCACGGTGGACTTTGCAGGAGCAGTTTTGGTTCCGCGTTCGGTGGCGGGCGATCGATGTGTGAACGAGCCCTGGGCTCTTCCTGTGTGCTGGATAGTCTCGGAGCTATTCTGTGGCGACCCTCAGACCATGATTTGCCTAACCTCGATAAGTTTCATCTCGCGTTCATAAATGTCTGCAGCGCTCGGGCACAGCGCTGGTGTGTGCGGGTGGATGAATGGGTCTGTGTTGTGGGAGGAGGAGACTTGAATCTGAAAGGAACCAACAAGACTGTTTCTTTGTCAATGCCTTTAAAAAAAAAAGAAAACACACACGATTGTATCACTGCACTTCTTGTCATTGTTCTACTGTTAATGTTTGAAAGGGGGATTCTCCAGGCTGCAACATACAAGAAAGGTGCAAACATGAAATGCATGTTGTTTGTCTTGGGGGCCTTGTTTGGCTTATTAAAATTTCAAGAAGCAAACAAACAAAAACAAAACAAACAAACAAACCCGAATGACCTTCTATATTGGCCCTTATTAAAACAAAACAAAACAAAGCAAAACGCAACCTGCACTTTTTTCCCTTTTGTGGGGCAACCTCTGCATTTTGGTCTTGGTTTCTCCCCCCTTCCTTTTTGATCCCCCATAATGCATTATGTTTGACCTTCCTTGTAGGGTCAGCCAGGAGAAAAGGGAAAGACCAGCCTGAGAATCAGCGTCCTGCAACTTTGCCGGCCTCCCCTCCTCCTCAGTTCCCCCGCAATGCAGGGGAGCAGGCCTCCAATTCTAATGGTACACACCAGTTCTCACCAACGGGTTTAAGTCAAGACTTTTTCAGCTCATCCTTGGCAAGCTCCGGCTTACCCCTGGCTTCTACGGGAAAATTTGCACTAAACTCTCTCCTCCAGCGCCAGCTTATGCAGTCCTTCTACTCCAAGGCAATGCAGGAAGCGGGAAGCACAAGCATGATTTTTTCAGCAGGTCCCTACAGCACAAACTCCGTATCTTCCCAAAGCCCCTTGCAGCAAAGCCCCGACGTCAACGGCATGGCTCCCTCACCCAGCCAGTCGGAAAGCACCGGCAGCGCCTCTGAAGGCGAGGAAATAGACACAGCCGAAATTGCACGTCAGGTCAAGGAGCAGTTGATCAAGCACAATATCGGACAGCGGATTTTTGGACACTACGTCTTGGGACTCTCGCAAGGGTCCGTGAGCGAGATCCTGGCTCGGCCCAAGCCGTGGAACAAGCTCACCGTGAGGGGGAAGGAGCCCTTCCACAAGATGAAGCAGTTCCTCTCGGATGAGCAGAACATCTTGGCACTGCGCAGCATCCAGGGCAGGCAGAGAGGTGAGTGAGGCTGCGGCCGCCATGTTTTCTTCCAGCGTCTGTTCTCAAGCCGTGCCGGGCCCCTCTCTGGAGGGCTTCTTGCACTAGCCTCTGAAGAGGTCCGCTGGCTCTCCAGCTCGGGCCATGTCTTCTGTGAGTCGGGGTGAAGGGACAGAGTAGAGGATGGGCAGGCCGTTCCCTTGCCGGGATCGATCGGGAGCGGCACAGGGTGCTGCTGTTGCGCAGCTCCTCTTTGTTTTCATGGGTGCAGGGAAGCGGGCATCCCGGTGGGGAGCTGGCCCAAGCTGCAGCATCGGTGGCCCACCTTGGTGTTCTGACCCAGACTTGGGGACCAACCCAGGCCCAATGGGCCCAGCGGAACAGATTTGGCTCTGGCAACGTTTGCTTCACTGGGCGAAAGCCTTGGTGTGCCTAGCATGGACTTATATAGCCCCACTCTTTCTGGCATTTATCCATCCAAATAATTAACTCGTGTTACGACTCTTGTAAAAGGAACGTTTTAAGAAAGCGAAATAACAGTTCCCCCACGCCACCTTTCCCCATTAATTTGACATGCCTCAAATGAAGGCGAGTGAGACGGGACCCCAAGCCGCTTCGTGGTGTACTCCCTCCCAGGTGAGGCGCACAGTTCTCCATCCCTCTACACACACACACACACACACACACACACACACACACACACACACCAGGCTTAGCAACAATCGGCGCTTGTCCTCAGCTTCTGGGAGAAGCAGAAGGCAAAGGCATCCCAGTTACACAGGGCACTTTAAGATCCCAGAGCACAAAGGAAAGAGCCTCAGGGCCTGCAGCGAGGAGGAGGCTGTCGCATCAGCAGGAGGGCCGGTGCAGCCTTCTGAACAGCGCAGCCAATACCACGGTGGCGGATTCAGTTCTAACCTGTTCCCTCCCCACCACAAAAGCCCTCCATTTTTACAGGGAAAATCATCTTCAGATGCAACTAAAGATATTGTTGTTGAGAGAGACAGGGAAAGCCAGCACCCCCGGCGTCTCTCCCTCTCCTCTCTCCTGGTCATAACCTCCGGCATACGCAGCGGGTGCTTCGCATTTCCCCACCAGCAGCAGAGGTGGCGGAATGCACTTCGCCACGGCACGGCCTCGTGCGCTGCACGGGGGACGCGACGGTGCTGTGAGAGGGTGAGGGGTTTGTGGGCAGGGCCCCCATGTTCCACGGCCATCCAGTCTGGCTCAACGCAAAACCTGGGCCAGGCAAGTGAGGGAAGAGAAGGGTCAGTGGTCAGACTCCATCTCAAGCATGCACAAGATTCTGCACGCTCCAGCTAGGAGGGTGCAGGAGGACCCCGAGAGCCGGTGCTTCCTCACTGTCTTGGATGCAGGATGCGGCTTCAGCCTAGACTTGCTCCTCTTCACCCGTTTAGCCATGTGCGGGAAGTCTGTTTCTTTCCTTCTCTGCTCGCAATACCCATCTGGCGCCCCAGAGCTAGGGTTTCCTAGTTGGTCCTCCAGTGAAACACAGCAACAGAACCGGTCAAATGCAGCCATGAGCTCTGAGCCATAGCAAGACAAATAAAACATCACAGAGCTGAAATAAAGCCAGTGATGGGAGAAAGCATCATGCAAGGAACACTGAGAGTACAAACAGATGTGAGATGCCTTGGCATGGGGGGTGGCATACAAAAGTTTTAAATAAAAATAAATAAAAATAAAAACAGGGAACTGGAGCAGCCTTCGCCTGGGGTGAGAGCCCATGGGGACTGCACCAGGTAGCGCAGCCTGCTGTGGGTCCCAATTTGCCAGTCAAGCAAGCTGTACTCTGTGAGCCAGAGATTTGATCGGGTTCCCTAAAGGTTGCCAGGGAGATAGGAAAGAGGCAGCCATCAGGGGCAAAACTTGGCCTCCTGCAGCATCGAGGTCTCCTGTGGCCAAGGAGGACCATCCTAGTGGCTTGCCTGAGAAACAACGGGGGCATCAAGGCTGAGGGGGGTCAGGGTTCGGGTTTGCGAGAATGCGAGGTGGCCGATGTGCTCCCCCCTGCCCCAGTTCTAGCTGCTGTCCTCATTCTCGAAGATGTCCCCCGTTCCAGTGGCAGTAATTGCAGCCTCAAGCCAGGGAGGCCTTGCCGATTTCTTTTAGCCGGGAGCTCAGTCTGGTCTCAACCGCCAGTTTTGTGGCCCACACTTGCTCACAGGACGTGGGATGGAGCACATGAGCTCATGGTGCAACTCAGCGCTATTTTAGCAGCATAACGTCAGAAGGCGAACTCTGCACTTCAGGCAGGAGGAAGGCTTCCGAGTGAGAAATATTAGGATAATACTTCATTTAAAAAACCAGACAAGCAGAAGGCAACCAGCGGGAGTGTGATGAGGGTGCCGCTCTGTACGGTCCAGTAGCAGTGGAAACAAGCACTGGGTTTTCAGAGCAGCTGAAGAGGCTGCACCTTGGGTGGGAAGAGCTTCTCTGGGCCCACCTGGGTCCTGGCTTCAGGCAAGGGGAGCACAGCGCAGTGGATGCCCTGAGGAAGGGGAGTGGTGGCCGTGGTGGCAGAGTGGCCCCAGAGTGGAGGGGAGGGTTTCCCCTCTCACTGCATGACCTTTCCCCACTGGACTGGGGCCTGGAGGGAAAGCCTTTCGCCGCAGGAGCTTCTCATGCACACGGTGGCAGCCCCACGTGGGGGCAGATCTGCAGTGAAGCTGCCCCTCCCGGGAAGAGGCACTGGGTTAGCTTTCCGTTTACGGCACCCAGCCACGTTTTAAGAGCACCTCCATCCCTGGGTGGGTGATGTCAGTGCACCTGCAAATCCCGGCCTGACTGGCGCCTCCAGACAGGCCAGCTCACACAGCAGCATCTCACTGCGTAAGCAGAAAGCTGAGGGCACCACGTGCTTCTTCCCCTGCGTCCTGGGCAGTCAGGCCTGGTGGCACACAGGAAAAGATGCACCATTCTGGGGGCCAACCTTCCCTAGAGGCCGAAGACAGGCCCCCTCTCTGCGCCGCTCAGCCTCCCGTTATCCCAGCCATTCCCAGCCGAAACAGGGCTCTAGTCGTCTGCTCCTGAAGCACGCTTTCAAATAGCTCCCCCTGGGCATGCCAGATCGTGACCACAAAACCAAAGCTAGGGCGCCCAGCCATTCCTGCAGTCCACTCCTGCGTGTTGTCGGGTGCTCGGGGTCGCGTCAGTTGGCCCCTTCCCAGCCTCCCCGTGCGGGTCTGGGCACCCCCTTCAGAGCACCGGCCGCCACTCCTCCCAGCCGTGCGCTGCAGAACCACGTTGTGAAGGAAGGGCTCTCCTGTGGCGAGCGGCAGGGGGCAGGGGCAGGCCGCCAGGCAGTGCTTGAGGCAGCTGTGTAGCAGGACTTACTTCCCTCGGTCGCCAGGGCGCGCAGGGCCTCGTGGATCGTGTCCCCCCTTTGGGGCCAAGAGCTTTGAGGAGGATCGCTGACCCGTCTCCATCTTTTTGCACCCGTTAGAAGTGCATTCATCTTTCTAATCTCCATCCTGGGCATAGCTGTGCTCTTCATTAACCAACCAGCCTGCCTTGCCTCCTTTCCAAAGTAGCCGTCTGCTCTGGCCAGCCCCACACGGCCTGAGGGCTGCCCCGACCCCCATCCCCTCTCCCCCTTTCCCCCGGCTAGTGAGCAGCAGGCTGTTCTCGTTCCATCTCATGGCCGCAGATTGTCAGAACCCCCTGATTGTTTTGTTCTTACCCAACTTGTTTTTCAACAGAGAATCCAGGCCAGAACCTGAACAGGCTATTTCAGGAAGTACCGAAACGAAGAAATGGGTCGGAAGGTACGTCACAGGCAGCTGTTTCTCTTTGCGGTCAATCTCTGGGAAGTGACGTGTGCTTAGCTGTGTGTCGTCTTTCTTGCTGTTGCGAAAAACCACAAAGGGGTGCAGTTTGATTCTGGCCTGGAATCTGAAAGAAAAACAGACAGTGGTGCCCAGTGCAGACCTAACACTGGCTCCCCACAAACCATGGTTTGCCGCTCGGAAGTCGCCCTCGGGAATGCTGCCCCCCATCCCCCCGAGCTATTCCGCCACCTCCTTCCCCCAGTGAGAGCATGACTTTCTGTGGCATGTGGACCAAGCTACGGTTGCTGCGAACCACGGTTATCCCGATAATCCGGACTTAAGCCAGGATTGATGTGGATGTGCAAACCCTCCTTTGGCGGCCAACCCTGGTTCTCATCAGCACAGTTCGTGTCGGTGCACACAAAAAGTCGTGCTTGATGTTGGGCCAGGAAGGGGGGAACACCTCCCACCTGCGAGTCCAGGTGGCCTGGGAAGAAGCACCCCCAGCTTGTGAACCATGGTTTGCAGGGAGCCATTGTTGCATCTGAACTGGACCAGTAAGTATAAAACAAACCATGGGTTGGCACAAAGAGCACTTGTGAGTCTCTTTCCCTTCATCTGTCTTACTAACCTGACTCCTTCAGTAAAAGGCAAAACCCAACTCCGGCGTCACCCAGACGGAGCCAGACTTCGTTAGCGCGAATGCCGATCACGTCCGTATCGTGTCCCAGGCCTGCGCCCGTGGGTCTTTTGTCCACCGGAGGCTGCAAAGAGCTTCATGGCTGAGCAGATTTTGGCTTGGGCCTCTCCGGCCCCTTTTGTCACTCGGGCCGTTCTGTCCCTGAGACCATCACTTTGGGGCGTCTGGCTTTTTTGGGAAATGCATGCAGTGCAAGCCGTGCTTCCTCCTCCTTCGCTCTTGAGCGCACAACACGCCTGTTTTGAACTGTGCTCCAAAAGGCAGGTGCGGAGCACGCGTGTGGCACCCCAGAGAGGCACTTGGCCCCCGGAGGGGGAGCCTTGTGCCCCTGGGGGAAGATCCCGCAGAAGCCACGCCTCGGCCCCCTTGCTGCCCAGGGTAGCACACAGGGATGCTGATGAAAGCGTCGGGAGCAGGGCCTGGCGCAGCACAGGGCAACCTGCTTGGCGCGCCCTTTGCCGCTCCGCCGCAGAGCTGGCCTCCCCGGGCAGAGGCCTCGTTGAAGCCGGACCCGCTCTCCAGGCGCCCCGGCCAGCACCTGAGGCTCTGCGAGGACAGTCTCGGACTAGGGCCTCCTGGGTCCAGATCTCTTCTCAGCTGTGAGCTCCTGCCAGGGGGCTGCTGCTTTGGTTCTCTTCCTAAATGTAGACAGCCGTGCTCTGGGTGGGGTCCAGCCCTAGTCAGAGTCGACCCATTGGATTCAGTGGGACTTGAGCTTGTCCTGGCTGCAGGTCCCATCCATTTCAATGGGTATATTCTAAGTATGACTTAAATTTGGATCCAACTCTGTTTGCAGCTTTTTCACCTACTTGGGGTGGCTTCTAAAGCAGTACCAGATGCTTAAAATGGCCACATGGAGGCATCTGTTTATTTGCTGGGTTGTTTTCAAAGAAATCAACCTCAGGGTGCCCTCAAAAGCACTCTTCCATCATGAGTTCAGTCGGGTTCACTTCTGAGCAAACCTGCTTAAGGTTGCACTGTGAAAGCTCGTTTCGGGAGACCAAGCTGGAAGAGAATAGCAGCTGCTGCATTTAGCAATGCAACGATTTGGGGAATGTTTTCCACACTCCTGGGCTGCTTCCAGGGTGCTCGCCCCTTCTCCCGCCCCAAGCGGAGCTCGCTTTTTTGGCAGAAGTGACCAGGTCCCTCAGTCCTACCATCAGGCAGGTCTTTGAGCGCCTTGTCCTTCGCCTCTGCCCCCTCTTTGTGGGAGGCGAGAGGAGCAAGGACAATGGGTGAGGCTCTTTTGCTGGTGGCACCATCACTTTGGAACAGGCTCCCTGGGGTGATTTAACAGGCCCCTTCCTGTTTGTAGATTAATCGAAGCCTTAATATTTTGAATTTCAGCGAGTTTTTGAGATGATTATCTGCTGCTGTTAGGCTCTGCTTTTAACAATATAGTGATACCGACACAAAGCTGCTCTTTATATTATGTACCATGGTTTTTCTGGCTATTTAATTGGTTATACTGGTTTGAATGGCTTGAGTTTTGTAAGCCATTTTTGGTGTGTTGTTGAGAAAAAAGCAGGGATATAAATAGTAATCCATAATAGGGAAATGGAAATACTCTGAGCTTCCTTGGAGGGTAGTGTTTGTAAGGGTTAGGTGGCCACTAAGAGTGAGGACTAACTTAGATGTATGTTGGCATACGTAGAAATAATTCCTGTCCCTGGAGAAGAGGGTGGCCAGGTAGCTTGCTCTCTCTGCCATCCTGGTGTTAGCTCAGGTCCCCCACACTTCTTTTGACAGCTCGTAACTTTAAACCTGAGCTGCATAGGACAGTCCTTCAAAGAGGACTGCGCCCTGATCACTGAGGCCCCCACTCATCCTAGTACAGACTGATGAGATGACATGAGCAAAGCCCTCTGATCGCTAAGGAAATTGATACATGCACACAATCACAGTAATGTCACCCCCTTACCTGCCTACCTAAAACTCTTGGGAGGGAGGCCGGTTAGCCTAAAGCCAGTGCCTTAAATATTTATTCTTAAAAACAGGCATTTGGGGAGTATCTGGAAATGTGGAGCTGTTTCCCAGTTCTGATTCAGCAGAATCAGATTCAGCAGATTTTGATTCAGCAGAATCAGATTCATATTCAGCAGATTTTGATTCAGCAGGTTCTGTATTTAATATTCAGTATTTAAACTAGACAAGAATGAAGGGTTGAAGATCATAGGCAATTGTCCATCTGACCACTCAGGCACATGTGCCCCTGTATCTCCTGACCAATGTCCCGAGTAGCTTCTTGTTGGGGACAATTGTCCAAAATAGCCATCAGAATCTTCAGGAATGTCAGGACTTCTGATTATTTGCTTGTTTTTCAAAGTGAGAATTTACTGCTATCTTGCTTGAGAAAAAAGAAATAATGGTACTTGTGTCAGCTTGCAAATTTGAAGTCAGACCAAAGTAATTCAAGCGTCCCAGCATCTATTTGAGTCTGCAATCGCGTGCTATATTCAGAACATTTTAATTTTGAAAACCTGCAGATTTTTTTTAAAAAAGGGAAAAGAAAGGTTTGCAATTTGTGTTATTCCAGAATTCTTCTCAGTGCAGGTGGGTGGAGATGGACCATGTCCTTTTTTTTTCTTTTTCTTTTTTTGGAGTAAGCTGCCCAAAACAATTGCTTAAAAATCCTTGTTATAAAATTCTAGTGCTAGCAAAATTTGCCACCATATCTCAGATTCAAAGTGAGTCTGAGGGGCTTGAGCTGAGGAGGTTCCGCATCTGCTTTATGTGCAGCAAACCTCAAGTTAATTCCCAGCAGGCTCCGTAGGAAGGATTATGAGTGGCTGGTGAGAGAAAAGCTCCTTTCTCTGCCTGAGACCCTGGAAACCCACTGGCCAGTTGCAGGCAGTGCTTGGCCTGATCTTACAACTGTGTGTGTGTGAGTGTGAGATGTCTGTCCCATTTTGTGACCAGGGCCTTAAACCAGTGCATCAAACAATTTTAAAATCACGGCCAAGAAGTAACTGGAAGGCTGAGGAGACATGAGAGGGAAGGCAAGCAGAGAAGCTTAAAAAGCAGAATGTTAAAATACTGAACCCTGAAAACTGCAAGGGGGAGAGGGCGCGAGGGACAGAGCAGAAGGCTGGGTCAAGCGTGCAGAAGCCTGTTTGCGAGTCCCTCCGAGGCTCCCAAAACGGGGCTGCTGATTCGATCTGTGTTGTCCTCTTCCGGGAGCATTACTTGTGCGCACTCTCGACATGGTTCGCTGACAGGTGCTTCTGAACGGAAAGGCGGTTTTTGAGAAAGCAGCCTCACCACTGATGCTCTCTGCCTTTCTTCAGGTAACATCACCACAAGGATCCGAGCTACAGAGGCGGGCTCGGATGAAGCTATCAAATCTATCCTCGAGCAAGCGAAAAGGGAGCTGCAGGTGCAGAAAACAGGTGGGATGGCTCGCTGGCCCCGCTTCACGGTCCCCTCCCAAAGGCCCTCCTCCTGAGCGTGTGGCCCCCCATCGCAGTTTCGGTAGCCCCCCATTTGAGTGGCTGAAGCACCATTCACCACGGGCCGTGCTCTTTGTGGGCAAGCCGAAAGAGCTGTTTAATCTGGTTGTAAGCAGGCCTCTGCCCCGGGCTGCCATTCCACACGCCACCCTTCTTCCAGGTGATGTTGAATCACAACTCCCAGCATCCCCCAGGTTGCAGGCAACTGCTGTAAAGGCGGGCCAGGGGTCCCAAAGCTTTCACACCCTCCCTGGACTCCCCTTCTCTCGATTCTTTGGGGAAGCACCTGCAGGCACTTGCCTTGATCAACGGGTCGGCAGATCGGTCAACCCGCAGGTAACATGGAAGAGCATTTTTGACTTCCCAAGACTCGCCTTCTGCAGGGCCCTGTGTTGCCTTTTCCTCCATGTGGCCACAGAGAGGTCGCGTGTGTGAGGCTGTGGCATCGCACAGAAAGCAGGGTGGCTCTGGCGAGTGAGTGGAGGGGCCCAGGGGAATCAGGAAGTGGACTGAGGTAGAGGGGGCCAGTGCAGGTAGAGGCAGAGAGAGAGCAGCCCCAGATGAAGGAGCGGGGCTCCCCGACGAGGACACCCACTTTGGTCGTCAAGAAATGTGTCGCTTTGGGTTTCTCTATTAAGTCAGAGCCATTAAATGGGTGAGATGTATAGTTGTAGATACTTGAGTGGCAAAGTACCTGTATTCCATACTAATGAATGATACACTTTAGATGTTCTGTATGTGACTTCCCTGTTGTAGTGCTCACTGTATTTATGTGGGTCCATCATTAAAAAAAGGAAACAATGAATAATGAATATCGACATTTAGCAGCAATCCACAGTTTACCTGGAGATATGAAAATGTCAGAAAGTACATACGCACACTGGCAAACCTCAGGAATCCAGTCCAGTGATGTGATCTCACCCTTATTTCTGTCATTTTCCAATAAAGCAGTGAGGATGTAACTCCAAGCCCATGCAAGCCCATGCTCTTCTAATGCTCTTCGAAGCACGAAGAGCTTTTTTCATGGCTTGGGATAGCAGGAGCAAGGGTTTCGAAGCCTGATGTTTGGAGAACTGCATAATGGCCTAGTGGTTAGAGCGCTGGACTTGGGGGCCTGGGGCATCCCGGTTCAAGTGCCTGCTCAGCCGTAGAGCTGACTGGAGGATTTGGGGCCAGTTCCAGAGACTCAGCCGAGCCTACCTTACAGGGCTGTTGGTGTGAGGATAATGTGGAGCTGCATAAGCTGCGCTGGGTCCCTCCCAGGAGGGAGGGGTCCCTGTGGATTTACTCCGCTGGCCAAAGCATCTGTAGGAAGTGCTGCTCATCTCTGTTTGCGTGGACGTGAGCCAGCGCTGCCCAAAGACATCCCCTTGGCCGCGGGGCCAGCACGGGGGCTGCTTCCTTCCCGCAGAAGTGGTACCTGCTTGCCTGCTTGCATTGCGCGCTTTCAAACGGCTCGATTGGCAGGAGGCGGGAGCTAGGCGGTGAAAGTCCACCCATCACTCAGCTTCAAACTACTGACCTTTTCTTCACCAGCCCAGCCGCTCTACAGTTTAACGGGGGGGGGGGGGGCAAACGCGGCGGGGGGGGCATGGTCGGGTCTGCCCCCCCCCCGCCTCATCGGAGGCTCTTTGCTTCTCTCCCCAGCTGAGCCGGCTCAGCCGCCTTCCACCTCGAGCAGCGGCAGCTCCGACGACGCCATCCGCTCCATCCTGCAGCAGGCCCGGCGCGAAATGGAGGCGCAGCAGGCCGCCCTGGAACCCGCCTTAAAAGCCGCCCCCCTGTCCCAGGCCGAACTCTCCCTCCTGACCCCCAAGCTGCTCCCGACCCCCACCATGCCCTCCGTCGCCAGCTACTCGCCCCTGGCCCTGTCCCTCAAGAAGCACTCGTCGGCCGAGGCCGGCGCGGCGTCCCTGCAGACTCTCCCTGCTCTAAAAAAAGATTCCCCGGAGGCCCCCGTCCTGGAGCTCCACGGGATGGCCGATGCCGCGCAGGGGGTGCTGCGGCACGTTAAAAACGAACTGGGGCGCAGCGGGGTGTGGAAGGACCACTGGTGGAACACTGTGCAGCCGGAGAGGAGGAGCGCCGCCCTTCCGGAAGACCCCAGAGCGGAGGAGGCTGCCGGAGGGAAGGAGAAGGCCAGCGGCCAGCCCCGCTCGGAGCGTGGCCAGCAGGTCCAGGGGCCCGCCTCGTCGGACTACTGGAAGGAGTGGCCCAGCGCGGAGTCGCCCTACTCCCAGAGTTCAGAACTGAGCGTGACGGGGGCCAGCCGCAGCGAGACGCCGCGGGACAGCCCCCTCCCTTCCTCCCCCATCGTCCCTCTCGCGAAGCCATCGAAGCCGTCGGTCCCTCCCTTGACCCCGGAGCAGTACGAGGTCTACATGTACCAGGAGGTGGACACGATAGAGCTGACGCGCCAGGTCAAGGAGAAGCTGGCCAAGAACGGCATCTGCCAAAGGATATTCGGGGAAAAGGTACGGGCTCCCGCGGTGTGGCGGTCGCCGGCACTCGCCGCTCCCGGAGGCCGGATGGGCCTGCGTGGGCGGATCCCCGCTTGGCAGGATTCCCACCTCCACTTCCAAATTCCCACTCTTTCCGAGGGTTGCAGGGGAGTGGGGGATAACGGGGGGCAGGGGAAGATGAGGGGAAGGGGGACAGGGGCTGTTGAAAAGGGACTCCCTCGCCTCGAAGGGCTGCACGGTGGAGGGAATTTTGACAGGCCCTCCGTCCGCCTTGGCCTGCAGCCCTCCTACCCAGGGGGCTCGCTCACTCATTTATTTAAAACTTTGGTATCCCGTCCTATGCATAAAAGTGTCAGGATAGTTGACAGGAAAGCACAGCATAATCTCTATGATAAAAACCCAATTAACATAGAAATGAGGTCTCAAAATAATGGGAAAATAAAAAGGTTTTGGCCTGGCACCGAAAACGTGCTCCTCTCTAGGGAGCCCATTCCATAAGCGGGGTGCCACCGCAGAGAAGGCCCTTCTCCGGGTAGCCACCCTCCTGATCTCCTTCAGGGAGGGCTCCCGAGGAAGGACCTACGACCCAGGTCTCGAGGCTTGTGGGAGCAAGAGCCGCAGCACGGCGGGCGTGTGAGACGAGGGAGGAGAGCCTGGCGGACTGCTAAGCCCTCTTCCCGCAGCAGCATTGCGCGAGTCTCAGAGCGGCGTGCAGCAAGCGCCCAGCTGCCAGCCTGTCCCCCAGGTTGTCCTCCTCTCTCCCCCGTTCCCCTGCAAGCCTCGCCTCGCCTCGCCTCGCCTCGCCTCGCCTCGCTCCAGCCATACACTCCCAGGCACTCTCCGCCCATTCTGCTGCCCGGGACGCCTTTTTAACCCAGCAGCTGCTGACCCCCAGGACTGCATTGACCAAGCGATGCAGGACTCCCTGCTCGTGTGAAGGCATGCGGGCATTAGAATTCCCTGGCTTGTGCTGGCCGAGCGGAATCGGGTGGGCCTTCAGGACTGACTGCTTTCTGCTCCCACCACTTCCACAGCACAAGGCGTGGAGATTCTCCGTGACTTCCCTGCCACATGGGCCGATATCCGTTAACTTCAGGGAAGGGGGGCATAAGGAGGGGACAGAATCTTAACCCAGTTTCCAGTCTCCGCTGCAAACTATCTGTGTCACAGCCCTGTGCATTCCCTGCCTCTTCAAGTTCTCGGGACGTTTTCCAGAGGTCGTGCTTTTCCATGTGCCAGAGCAGCACCTTCCAGGCAGGGTGAGGCACATGGCTTAGATAGGCTGGGAGTTTGTTTGTTTGTTTGTTTGTGTATTTAAAACATTTTTATACCCTCTACTGCCAAGGTCTCAGGATGGTTTAACAGTAAAGCAGAATAAAACAGAATAAAATGCAGCATCCTAATTGATTTCTAGCAATAGAACCCATAAAATAACACTCAAACTTTAAAATATTGGGAAAATAAAAAGGTTTTAGCCTGGCGCCAAAAAGAATAAAGTGACAGCACCAGGCAAACCTTTCTGGGGAAGTTGTGGCAAGCCTTTGATTGTTTGCTCTTGAAGACTCAGGAACTGTTGCTTTTCGAATTGAGATAAGTGAAGATGAAGAGGCAGTGTGGTGCAGGGGTTAAGGGTGTGGGAGTGGGGCTCAGGCAAGCCAGGGTCTAGTCCCCATTCAGCCTTGAGTGACCTGGACCTGCCACAGACTCTCAGCTCAGCCTACCTCACAGGGTTGCTGTTGCAAGGATAAGATGGAAGAGGAGGAGAATAATGGAAGCGCTCTTGAGTTCCTTGCCAGGAGAAAATGGTGCGATAGGGAAATAATGACGAAATGGGGACCCGCAGCACGCTGTGCGGAGTTCTGCCTGGCTTGGACTGGCGGTTTGCAGCGTGCTTTGGCGCCTCCCAGCAGGGAGAGGGAGGAAAATGGGAAGCTTCTTTCCTTCCCTGCCATGCGCTGCAAATGCCCAAGCACCAAGAAGGCTACTCGGGACCTGCTTGAAGCTCTCTGGATGATTTGCAGTAGATCAGCAGAGAACCTGCCCTCCACTTATCCCAGGACAGCTAGAAAGCTTTCCCCACTATGTTCGGCTGCTCAGAAAGACGGCGTGGGAGGCAGGGGCATGTTTGCAGTGGGGCAGGGGGTGGCATACGGGCTGGCTTCACAAAGTCCCGTGCGGCACCCTCGGTTCTCGCCGCGTCCATCCGCCCGAGCCACTGCTTGGTACCTGGCTCAGGTCGCTGGACCGCGCGGTTTTAGGCTCAGGTCAAGCAGCTGATGCACACCTGAAGGCTTCCTACTCCATGTTCCTCCTGCCTGTATCAAGAGGCTGCTCCTGGAAAAGGGGGAGGAGGAGATGCGTGGCTCCTTCCGATCCTTCTCCCATCATCCCTTTGACTCCCCTCTTCGGAAATGACCCCCGGGGGAGGCGGGCGTGCGCCCCAGCCCTGGGTCTGCCCTGCTCCTCCCGAGCCCACTGCTAATCTCGCTTCTTCTCCCCTCCAGGTGCTCGGTCTGTCCCAGGGGAGTGTCAGTGACATGCTGTCCCGGCCGAAGCCCTGGGGCAAGCTGACGCAGAAGGGCCGGGAGCCTTTCATCCGCATGCAGCTCTGGCTGAACGGCGAGCTGGGGCAGGGTGTCCTGCCCTCGCAGGGGCAGCCCCAAGGCCAAGGTAAGGGGGCCGGGGTCTGTCGGGGGCGAGGAGCGGCATGCGCAGGCTGGAATCCCTCGGGGGCCCTCGCTTTGCGACGTGCCTTAAAACTGGCTTCGTGGGCAGAGGAGCCCGCCCGTGGGGCGCGAGGGGCCATTGCGGGGGGCGCGGGCCGTGTGCAGGCGTGGGGGCTGCGGCCGCAGGAGCACGCTCTCCCCAAGCCCCGCATCCGGTGTCAGGCGGGCTGCGCGGCCCCTCGCTTGAACCCGATCTGCCCCCCAGTGGGTGAGCGGTTGCCCCACCTCCGGAAGGACCATTCCCCCCCGGCCCCGTGGAAAGTGGGCCTCCCTAGGGAGACTCTGAGGCGCCCCAGGCCACGGTGCACGCCAGCCACCTTTCGGAAGCGCACGCTCCGCACGACGCCCCGCGAGTGTCGCTTTGCCTGCGAGAGGTGGCCTTCTGCAGCCCTTGCTGTGCTTCTCGGGCTCCCTCCGCTTGGCAGCAAGCGCACGCTGCACCTGCTTCCTTCCCTCCCCGTTCCGCTCAGCCTGGCGGCCTCCGGACCGCAGAGAGGAGCAAGCCCTGCACAGTGAGCCCTTCCTCAAGGCCCGAGTTCGATTTGGCAGGGACCAAACTGACCCTTTCCTTGGCCTGGGGGGATTGCTTTCCCATTGAGAGGAGGGCTGGAGCTCGGTAGGAGCCGGTGTCAACCCGGTGCGTTGGTGGGCGTTTGCCAGGCATCCAGACTGAATTTAGCTTGGCTACAATCCAAGTCCACAGAGTCGCGGGTGCCCCTGTCGCATGCCTGGTGGCATCACCGGGAGCATGATAGGGCCCGGAATGGAGGGAGGTGGATGGGCCTCTTGGTAGCCCCTCTTGCAAGGCCTGCGGTGCTGCTGGGAGCACTTGAAACTGGACGTGGAGCATTGGGATCCATGATTCCTGGTACCCTTGGCTTTGGGCAGCACCCAGGACTCATCATGGTGACTCTTAGAAGCCCTCCCTGCCGGACCCAGCCCCGTCCACCTTAGGATGCTTAGGAGAATGACTAGAGCAGGACCCCTCCAGGAACCGCCAAAGTCGGGGACAGATCCATTTCCGATCGGGTCTCCTTCTGAAGCGCTTGGATCCAGCTGGCAGTGGCTCCAGAGCACACGCTCCAGGAGTCCAGCAGCCACCGGCCTCATTCAGTGCCGGCACCACTCTCCTGGTGAGGCGGGCTCTGCGGAGAAACGGCCAGCGTGGCCGGCACCGCGGAGGAGAGGTGGGGGCAGCCACGGCTGCCTCATTGCAGGCACAGCCGGCTGGTGCGGCAGGTGCCCCTCCAAATGGAAAATGCAGGGTGGAGAGGCCCTGCCGCTGCCCCCGCAACCCACCCTCAGCTTGCCTTGCAGGAGAGGTGGCCATGCAGCGCACAAGAACCTCAGTGTGCAGGACCCTGGTAGTTAACCCACGAGAAATCCGGGCGCGCTCCATGCTGACCAGTGTGACCATCTGTCCTCCAGATGCTGCTCTCAGCCCACCCCTGGCCGATGAATCCCCGCTCCCCCAGCCACCCAGCCGGCAGTCAGCATTTGTGGCAGGGCGCGGGGTCCCCGCCCGGGTGCTGCGGAAGGGAGAGGGGCCGCCTTCGCCGGGCTGCTTTCATGCGCTGGCCTCGCTTCGCTGGCAGAGGGCTGGCTGCCTCCCTCCTGCATGTCCTCCTCACCATCCTCCTTTTCTTCCCCCAGTCCTTCCTTCTGTGTCGTCACTGCAAGACTCCCTTCAGCAGGGATGCGGAAGCTCAGGTAACCGGCTGCTTTCTTACGCACTCCTTCGCTCTGTTCTGTCGTGTTTCTGCTTCTGGGCTGGGCGGGAGGGCGGTGCCTTGCCCTTCCCGGGATCGTTATCGTGGTCCGTAGCATCTTCTTCTTCGCCTTTGCTCAGTCGCTCCATGGTGGGGGTGGGGGCACGGGGACTGTCTCTATTAAAACCAGTACTGCTTTCTGGCTCAGTAACTGCAGTGCAATTTTAAGAACACGATACAATTGAAACGCAAGGCGCCTACCAAAACACAGCTGAAGTATTTGCAAAATGAGCAGAACCGGGCAGCCAGGCGCAGTAAAGCACAAGCACTGCCTGCGGTAGTTGCAAGTCCTCCCAGGCCCTCTGGAGCAGAGCTGTTTCACTGGGGGCACCTGGAGGCAACGGGCAAGAGAGAGATGGGGGAAGGGCAGTTCCCTGGGGAGGGAAAGGCAGGGCTTTGGCACCGCCGCCGCCTCCAGGCTTCACCGAGCCGGGCAGTTGAAGAACATCTGAAATGGGCGTGTCCTGGGGCAGGGGAGGCTTTCGGGGCCTGCAGGTTTTGTCTTCTAGCACAGTTCAGGTTCCAAGGGAGGCGTAATCCGCGTTACCTGCAGGACTGCCGACGATGGCGTGCATGCGTGCGTGCGTGCGTGCGTCGCCCCACGGCCAGGACATGCGTGGCAGCACGCATGCAGAGCAGCCGGCCACATCTCTGGAAGGCGAGAGGGAGGGTGCTCCAGCAGCACTGATGCATCCAAAGCGGGCAGGAGTATCAAGGCAGCGCAGAGCAGGCTAATTTTAAATGCAGCCTTAAAACATGTCATTAGCGGTAAAGAGCAAAGGAAATGCATTTTGAAAGTGTACCACGATAGAAACCAGCTGCCTGCAGAGGTGGGGGGCTCTCCCACACTAGAGACATTCAGGACGAAACGGGGCAGCCACCTGAGTGGGGTGGTGCACCGGCAGGGGCCTGTCCCCGGTGGCCTCCATGGCCCCTTCCAGCTCTGCTGTTCCGTGATTCTAGGCGAGAATGTGCAGAGAGAATGTCTTGCGAGGGCACCCCACAAGGGCCAGCGATGCTAGCCCAGGGGGGGCTTGCTCGTGGGTCACGGTCCATCCAGTCCGAGGGGTTGTGGGCAGCCCTTGGAACAACCAAGAGGGTGAACCTGACGTCCTGCGAGTCCCTGGTTCAAGCCGTGCCTGTGCAGTAAATTCACTGGACAGCCTTGGATCCTCGAGTCTCAAGTCCCCACCTTAAAATATGGAGACCCTCACCCTGGCCCACCTTAAAAGGGTCATTTGAGGAGCTGCCAGAGCATGGAGAGCTAAGGGAAAGGGGATAATCCCTCGCTTTCTTTTCCCACTGTTCTCCAAACAGCTCAAAATGGTGCATGTGCCAGCCGAGCTTTAAAAAACGGTCTTTTCCAGCCACCTTTAGGAGCATAGGAGCAGCGGCCTAGCTAGTCCAGCCAACCTGGTACCCTCGGCAGGCCCCCAGACAGCCTCACGGGCTCTTGCCCCTCTGTTTTTAATCTTCATAGTGGTCCCTCAAGATAGGCAGGTGGGCCGAGGCTGCGGCCTTTGCATCTGTGCTGCGCTGTGGCGTCTTCCTCCCACCATCAGGTCACTGGGCTCTCCCAGAAGTCTTGCTTGAAACAGTGTCCCAGTTGTCCAAACTGCTCTAGACTTTATCCAGTTTTTTGCCTTCCTGTGTAACAACTGGCTTAAACCAACAGTGCTGCAAAGTGTTCTGAATCCAGCCCCTCCCCCCCAGAAAAGCCCAACCCAAGAAGCAGTAATAAGAAAATGATTTGCAGCAGTAAAAGGCGACACTGCAGAGAAGGCAGGGGACGAACCTATCAGAGCTTAAACCTAAGAATGAAAACCTTGGCCAGCCACTTCAAGAAGACGCAAAGCACAGCCGGGCGAGCAGTCTGGAATCTCTGCCACAGGGGCCGCCCCGATGCCTCTGGCAAGCCCCCAGGCGGCCGGGGAAGCAGCAGGCCTCCGGACGTGGCCCCCAGCGGCCGGCATTGAAGGCAGTTTGCCTCTGAATGACGCTGGAGGCCGTGGGGCACCATCGTGAGCAGTGGCCTGAAAGGCCTGCCTGGGATCCACATTCCACAAGCGGGGCGGTCACCTCAAATGGTCGGGAGGGCCTCTGAGAAAGATCTTGAGCTTTGAGGGAGGGGTCACAGTGTAGAAACATTTTAAGGATGCAGTCCTATGTAAGTTTAGCCGCCACCCCCAAAAAAGTAGTCCGACCCCTGACAGCGTTCCCCCGTCAGTGAGGAATCCTGGGAGTTGTAGGCCATTTTTCCGTCTAGACAGGCGTGGGATTGCCTCCTTAATCATTGGGGGAGAACCGTCCCATTTGGGCCCCAAGCCAGGCGGGGGTTTAAAAGTGCGCATGCTGCAACACGCCACGATCTCCTGGATTTAGAGATTCTCTTTCCCACATCCTGCAGCTCAGTCCAGCGGTGGGTGGGCACTTTTCTGTCCCACCGGTTTGAGGCTAGGAAGCGTCTTGGAATTAATGGTGTGTGGAAATACTCAGTCGTACGACATGCCCAGTATTAGCCGTGCTTTGGCACTCATTAGCCCCGAGGCGACATCTCCTCGGGATTGTGTAAGGATCAAATGTGCTTTCTTGGTTCATTCTCTCCACATGGGCCACAAATTTCATAAGCAGGCAGGGATGTCCCAACATCAGGCGACAGCCATAAAATTAATCTCTGCTTTAGTTAGGAAAAAAGTCACGTATGAAGCAACCTTAACCATCGCAGATGCATGTGCATTTTCCACTAGTGAAATGCTGTAAAACTTGTACTATGTCCATAGCTGGATCAAGAATGGAAATCGACATTCTTCTGTTACCACTTTCCTGTGATTACGGGAAGTGAGGCCACCTTCTTCACGTTCCTGGGTGGCCCCCTATCCCAGACCCGGCCCTCCCAGGCTTCCTTGCGTCCTGGACCTTTCCTGCATGTTATTGTTCCACCTAAACACTCTGCTCCCCTTGGGTGAATTAGGCCTTTTTTAAAAAGTATGTTTCGGATAAGCCCAGTGTTCGAAACCCCCAGCGCAGCCCTGGCCAGTCCTGAGCACCTGGCAGAGGTCTCTTGCATTCGTCTCCTGCCTGAGAATCCTTCATCATTCCAAGCTTTCATGCAGCTTAGGAGTGCGTGATTTTTGCGGGCTGGGGGTGTAATTAAAGGCTTCTCAAAAGTAAAATCCAGCCCAGGAGCCTTCTGCATTCCGATGTGCATGTAAGCCATTTTGTAGCGGTGGTGGGAGTCTCTCACAGCACGTGGTCAAGCTCCTCCAAGGCCACTTGGAAATGTGGAGGATGGGGGGGGGTCACGGAGAAGACAGGGGGGGCACAAATGGGCTGTGAGACAGCCAGAGAGGTTACTGGCTGCCCTCCTTCAGTTGCTCCCTGCCCTGCACAGGCCTAGTGAAGAAAGGTCCGTATTGTTTCTCTGGCCACCCGCGGCTTGTCCAACAGTTACTGTGTCAACCGCATGCCCAGGAGGGTCTGCCTTCCCCTTCCCATGCTGCCTTGGGCGAGTCTGTGCCTCAGCTTCCCATCTTGCTCCTGCAGAACACGAACTGCGAAGTCCTACCTCACAATGCTATTTGGAGGACGAAGGAAGAATCTAAAACCTTAGGCATGTCAAGAGTGCAATCTTGCCAATAGTGGAAGAGGGTTCCTACAAGCAGCGGCACGTGCTTAGCCGAGAGAGGGGTGTGTAAATGTCAGAACTGAGCGACTACTTTAGAATATCATGAATCACTGAAGGGAGGGGCCAGAGGGTCCAACCTGCGGCCCCATGCAGGGCTCCCGGTCAAAGTCTCCCTCTCCAAGGGCTGTCTAGCTGCCTCTTAAATGCCTCCAGGGTGGGAGAGACCACCACCTCCCCCAGTCTTGGGTTCCATGGCATACTGCTCTAAGAGAAGGGATCCTGGGCTCCTCGGTGTGATTAACCTTTCCAGTATTTGAAAAGTCTTTTGGTGGAACCCCCACTAAAGGGGTGATATGCCTGGAAGTGGAACCCACTGTGGGAAGATTGCCTTTCTTTCTTCCCCCCACTCCCTCCCTCCCCCCCTCCCCTCCCCTCCCCTTCCTGACTTTTATATGCTGTCCATTAGCACAGAGCTCTCAGAGCAGCGTACAATAAAATCCTGCAAAATCTGTTTCTACAGATTTGATGCCTTTATGGCGTGCCCCTTATCACTGGGAGTGGGCTGGCTATAAATTTGTGCTCGGCAGGGATGGGGTCTCAGAGCTGTGCTGCAAAATCTGGGCACCTCTGTTTTTCATGCTCAGATCAGACCTTCCGGTTGCTGTTTTACACTACTTAATAGCTTCCGGATAATCAGCATAAATCCTGTCTGACTTAGAGGAGGTAATATTTTATATCACCCCCTTCCAAAGAAAAAAAAATCCATCTAATTAAAATAGCAAAGTGCAAGAACATCCTGTAAAACAAAGGCAGCAGAAAATCCAAGTGCCAGAGACAAAATTGTATCACTACAAACCCAAACATCTCAGGGAAATAAAAACAGGTCTTTGCTGGCTGCTAAGGAGGCATCACCTCCAGCCCCAGGCGACCCTCTCTGGGGAGAGCGCCCGGGTCGGGGGCCACAGCTGCAAAGGCCCTGCTGTGGGCCAGCTCCGGAGATGGTCGGGAGCCCAAAGAGGGCAGAGCTTTGTAACTGATCAGAGTGGCCCCCGAGGTCCCGCTGATCCCCGGCCGTTCTGGGCCTGAATGGTTACAAATGGATTCACGCTCTCCACCTGCAGCTTTCCCCTTGTAGCCAAGCCTTTCAGCACCGAAGGCTGGGATTTCTGGAGTGCACAGAGATGTACGACGAAGCAGGACATGGAAGCTATTTTGGAGGCACAATGAGGCGGTGATCAGCGGCAGGGTCACGGTCTGGCGGACGGGACACCAGGGCCAGCTGCTCCCAGGAGCGAGGAAGGGTGCTGGCCTTCCTC